CAGGCACAGATACTTCAGCACACCTAGTTTAATGGGAGATGCCACAGTCATCTTGTTTCCACTTTGCATCTCTCTGAGGTTGAGAATGCCAGTTAGCCATGTTAGTCTGAAGTCAAGTGGAAGCCAGGGTAGATTTGCACCTTCAAGGCTAACCAAAGTAGAAATATAGATCTATTTATAGCACAAAGTGGTGTGAGCTGAAGCTTGCCTCATCAGATGCATCAGATTCTCATCCTTCTCAGAATTAAGGGAAAGGGAAGATAAAAAAATTAAACAATTTTAATCAATTAAAAAAAATAACACAGCAAGGCAGCCTCACACACTCCACTACTCATACCCAGGTACATCCATACAGTCATATACTTCTTCATACTATCCCAACATCTCTCTCTAAAGGTCCATCCTGCAGGACTGCTCTAAGTGGGGGAGAGTAGAACTCACTGGGACTTCCAGAGACTGGTCTTTCATCCTCAAGTGGACCATTTGTGAAACCCAGAAGGGAAGGAGGGAAGGAAACACAGCCCCCCTGTAAAAGCAGGGAAGGAATGTTAAAAAATGCTAAAAGAGAACAGAGTATAACATCAAGCTTCTTGCCCCCCTCCAGGTCCAAATTCAGTCAGGGTGGTATTCAGGGAATGACTGGTGACACTGGCACGATAGTTGCATTGGTAGTTTGAGGCAAAACTTCCCTACCTCATGTAGTGCAAGTACAGAGCCTAAAGCAGGGCAGAACATCTCAAAGAAGTGATTGAGCCCACCACGTTTTTTAACATTTGCCAACACACGATACCCTCTCTAATACAACAGGCATTATGGAGTAGATGCGGCAGTCCAACCCCTCAGGGAATATGCTCAGCTGGCATGGATGCACTACAGCTGCCTCAAGTTTCAACAGAGTGATCCCCCCAGTGTAAAAGGGACTTGCAGACCCCCTGGCCTGCAGCCAAGGTCCAGATCCTATTTAGGTGCCTAACGTGGGCATGGCCCTAAGTTCTCAAGGCACATATACTCACTGTGTCGCATTGGGTATATTAACATTGCCTATAGGAAGAGGAAAAGGGTTGGAGATATGGTATCTGCCTTGGAAGCAGTTACCCTATTTGTTGCCCAAAGAGAAAAAAGTTTGGTGATATCCCTCCTTGACCCAAGGCTTGAGTCAAAGCTCATGGAAAGATTACTAGTGAATTTCTAAATCAAGTTTCTAAGGGGTCCATCAAGCTTCGAAAGTGACCACAGAATAGAAGCCACCATCATTCAGTGCCACTCTTGTCTGTAGTCTTGAAAGCCAAACATAAGTTCCCACAACCTTACCTCTTGTAGAACAGGGCTGAGGCACAGTGATGATAGATAACATCAGGGAAGCTTAAACTGCTGTGGCGTGACGTATGGAGAAATAGAGGCTTCACTTAGGAATCTCTCATTAATTCCACCAAGATACACAAACATAACCTCCCTCTGACATTTGATTGAGGAAGTATATTTTGAAAGGAACATAAGAAGGTTACAGTGGGTCAAACCACCAGCACATCCAGCCCCATGTTCTGTCTTTCTTAGTCGCAAGGAGTGGATGCTGATATAAAGAATATTTATGCAGGATATACCCAGACTGATCTGTCTCCTGTCCCCCTCCCCTCTAAAGCTTCCAGTATTCGGAGGCCTAGGAAGTCCTAATTTGAAGACCTCAGGAGATCATCTAGTCCAACCCCCTGCTCAAAGCAGGACCATCACCAACTAGATCAGGGGTGGGCAAAATACCATCCACGGGCCAGTTGCAACCCGCCAGGCCATTCTATCTGGCCCGCGGAGCCCCTAAAAAGTTTAGAAAATTAATATTTATCTGCCCCTGGCTGCCTGTCATGTGGCCCTTGATGGCTTCCCAAAACTCAGTAAGCAGCCCTCTGCCCAAAATAATTGCCCGCCCCAGAACTAGATCATCCCAGCCAGGGCTTTGTCAAGTCAAGCCTTAAAAATCTCCAAGGCTGGAGATTCCACCACCTCTCTAAGCAAGTTGTTCCAGTGCTTCACTACCCTCTTAGTGAGAAGCTTTATCTAACCTAAACCTCCCTTGATGCAACTTGAGAACATTGCTGCTTGTTCTATCATTGGCCACCTCTGAGAACAGTGTAGCTCCATCCTCTTTAGAACCATCCTTCCGGTATTTAAAGGCTGCTATCAAATCCCCCCTCAGTCGTCTCCTCTCCAAACTAAATAAACCCAGCTCCCCCAGCCTCTCCTCATAAGTCATGCACTCCACCCCTCTCCAGTGTATCTACTACACCCCCCAGCTTGGTGTATACGTGACAAGCCTGTCACATATATGTTGTGCATATGTGACAGGATTGGATGGGGCCCTTTGTTCCATGCTTCCTGCAGCTAGGAATTCTCCATCAGCCCATCAGATCTCATGTGGAGCATGTCCGAGTTTGCTAGGCTGTAACGCTTGTGTTTCCTCTCTTTGCTTTGGAATTTGAACATTGATTTCTCTTTTTCCTGTTTGTTATTTTTTACTTGTGAAAGTGTACTAGAACCAGCACAGCAGGCTGTGCTCTCCATCTTCTAGCATAGGGCTGGCCAACCTGCAGCACACATGCCACAATTGACACAAGCAACCTCTGGCACTCAGCAAACTAGGGAAGGGGCAGGGACCACAGTGACAGATAGGATAGGAAACAGAAAACAGAAGCTTATGGGGCAGGGAGGAGAGTATGAAGCAGAAAGCAAAGCAGTAGTTCAGGCAGGAGAGGAGGATCAGAGGGGAGGGTGGGGGGCTTATATGTGGCACACCAGCCAAAAGGGTTGGCCTCCACTTTTCTAACAGATACTCACAGAGACAAAACCAAAGGGATAGCAGCTACATTTCATTCAGCCTTGTACAGTGGACTGTGTTATTTGATGTGACGTTAGGCAGCACGCTCATTCTTTATTTAAGGACTGACGCCTACAAGCTGTAGAACAAAGTAGTAAATGAAATGAGTGATTTGCAGAAAAGTGTCATTCTCTATTGGTTTACTTAGATTTTATCATTTTATCTATGTCCTCTTCATACTCCCTCCATATTCCTGACAAGGAGCTATGATCTGTTTGATTCAATCACTAACTTTACCCCTTTCAATACCATATTGCTTATCTAGGGATATTTTTCAACCTAGTTAAGCTAGCATTGGCAGGTGATGGTTACACATTGTGACATGTCAGCCTGAAACGTTAGCTGAGATTACCCTAGTGAAATTGTATTAAAGGTCACTGGAATTCGGGTTTGTAGTTTCACCTTAACAGATTTTACAAGCTGGATTACATAAAGCAAAGCTGAAATTTATATGGAATCGCTCCCTGAATATAAAATAAGTGCACAATTTGTATATAAGGACTCTTAAAGATATTAAATAGCTTTTCAAAGCCACCTTATCAGTCCCTACATCTTCCTTTCAAACCCACACAGCTGATCTCTGCTCAGATGATCTGATTGCCCTCTGGGTGGTAACACACACAAAATTATTTCCTGTATTATTTTTTCTTGTTTCACCCTCTTACATCTGCTGTTTGCCCTGAAATTTTCCATGTCCATTGGGAAGAGGGATTGAACTCTAGTTACCCATGAGAAAGTCAAGAAAACTAACCAACCTTTTGATTAAGAAAAAAAGAAACAAAAAAGTTTGAGAGATCTGGGAAATATAGTGTAATAACACACACACACACATAACCAAGGGTCTTCCATGTACCAGTGCCAATATCAAGTTCCCTCCTTGTCAAAAACCAGAGAAAGGAGAAAAAATGGAGTTGCTTTCCCTGATGATACAAACACAGCCGAGTAAAACCTCTACCAGTGTAGGCTGTTACTTTTGCACTAGTCTGAGACAGAGAAGGGGGGGGGTGTAGAACTGCCTTAAAGCAACAGTCACTAACCACTGTGCATGCTAAAAGGAAATCAAGACATTTACTATGCAGACATGAATTAAAGTTTATTATGATGTGATTTTAAAGTGTGCAGTTTTAATATAAGCTAGTTTTTTTTTTAACCAGTGAGATAACTATTTTTATTACAGGAAGCAGGAAAAAGTCAGTGCCTAGACTGTTTTCACAAATAGAACAAATAAAGAGGGGCACCCTTTTCCCCTTGATTTTTTTCAGGTCTAGTGCCAACTTCAGGTTCCTAATGGCACACAGGTTGCCTTAGCAGGGAGAAAAGGTGCCCAACAGTTCATACCCTGCAACACATTGAAGGAAGGGTTTTCCATCACCACGAAATCAGTTCCCTTTAAAAAATCTTTTGAGAATTCTTGTTAAAATAGGAATTGAAACTGGAGACACAGAGACCAAGTGATATTCAACTGTAGTGCACAGTACTGGGCCCACTAATGTTAGTAGTCAATTATGCCCCCAAGTTTAATGTTGGAAACAAATTCCTTTTGAGTCTACGAGGGTCTGTCAATTAATTTCGGTGGGTGAAGCACTGGATCTTCACATTACTTGCTTTCCATTTTCCAGCACATAAAATGGAACTACACTGCTCTGCCAGCAAAACTTTGAGTGAACCTAACCTCAACGCTCCCATGTTGTGGCAGAACCCTCCTTTCAGCCAGAAGATCTACAATACCACTGCCAAGTGGCCTGAAGCTTTTGCCACCGCTTGTCAGCTAGCAGAAGGCACGTATTGCTATTCTCAAATCTTCTGTCAGCTGAAGTGGCCTCTTCAGCAACTGGTGCTTTCTCAGGGTACATGTATGGATGTGACATGCCCTGGCAGCTGGTCAGAGAGGCAGGTAAGTGTAGACAAAGCTTGACAAAGATATGGGGAAATAAAGTGTAGTTATCTCAGTTTACAGCTGGGGAGTTGAGGCGGAGGCTGAAATTGAGTCACCCCAAATCCCTGGGGCAGACTGGGATTTAAAACTGAATCATCTGAATCTCAATCCAGTGCCTTAACCCCTCTCAAATTTTGCTCCCAGAACATATCCCCACTGGCAGGAAAGATACCATGATGCATTTGACCCGGGGTGGTTTTACTGACCTGGCAGGGGAGATCCCCTGCTTCTCAGTCTTGAATGACTTGGTGTAATTAGTGGGTGGAGAACTGTCCACTAGCAGGCCCCTACCGATTGGAAGATTTTGGCTACACAATTTATGGTGATGAGGGATTGCTCTTGAGCTTTCCCTCTAGCTTGCTCCTTTGGCCTTCTGGCTAGGGGCAAGGGAGACTAGGGGGCATCTGAACTCCAAGACCTCCCGGCTTGGGGCTTGCACATAGGATGCCTGCCATGGACCTGGGAGTATCTGAAGCCCCAGACTAATAAGTCTGGGAGGCAGGACACTTGCTAGTGGTAGCGCCACAAAGGGAGCTCTGCTTAGTTGAAATTTGGAAATTAATGCATAACTGTTTTGGATCTGGAAATGAAATTTTATTTTTTTCAAAATCCCCACTGTTCCAGGAGGTCCTGATACTATAAATACAATTCCTTCAGTCCTTTCCTTCTGCTGCTAACTTCTCCTTGTTAGCTACCCAATTTCAACCCATTCATGACTGAGTCTGCACACTCTAGACCTACCGGGTCATTCCCACTTGCTGTAGATCCCTCACATGGGTGGCGGACAGCCTCCTTCTGTGTTTATAAAAGAAAGCTGCCCCCTTGAAGGATGGACTGAGTGAATGCTAAAAATCCAAAAGGTAATCAAGAGAACACTGTTTTGCTGGACAGTGTAGGTACCAAGGGAAGGAATGGCAATAACTGCTTGAAAAACATGCTTTCACATGCAGGATACCCAAGTCTGGCACCAGGTATTTTATTTTTCTAGGCAACCATCTCAAAAGTTGCTCAATGCTAGGAAGAGCAGACAGACCAAGCATGAAACTGTGCTGGGTAGGTAGTTGGATCACAGCCACGCTGGTCTGCCATCCCCCAGGTGGTGGCCAGTCCAAAGGTTCCCTCCGCCAAAATGGCTTCCTTGGTGCTTATCTATGTGGCTTATTTAATGGCAACCCTGCTTTTAGTGTGACTGAGTAGGGTCAAAGAGCATTTTACAACATCACAGTTTACAAGATTAGGCCTGGCCAGTCTCTGTAAGGAAAAGCCAAGAGGAATGAAAAGGAAGTTCATAGATTTTTTATTGTGTTACGTCACCCAGCCAGAATGAAGTATAAGGAAACCTCTGATAGATATTAGCCAATACAGATAGGATTTTACTAGCCTGCATGTGACAAAGCATATCCACTACCACCAACTGAGCCTTCATTAACAACTGGAGCTAAATCTATCCTGTCACAGTTCAGATTAATTATATTGGGCTCCATTTATATGTATTCTCTCTGCTCTGGCATTTCCTGATCCCTCCAGTCCCAAATCACGTCTCTTGGCCTCCTCTCAAAAAAGAGAGAGAGAGAATTGTTTGAGTTGCTTATCATCCCAGACTCTCATTATTCATCTCTGCGGCTCTCTCTGGTTTTGTGATCCTTTTTTTTAAGACCCTGGTCCAAACCCCACTGAAGACAATGAAGATTCTAGCTAACTTCAGCAGGCTTTGGATTGGGCCCTAGTCTCTGCATGTTGTTGTTGTGCCTTTTCTTCTACTGGAAAAGCCTGTGGGTCTCCAGGTTGCAGGATTGTAAATACCTCTTTTTGACTGTCCAGTCCTGTGCTAAACTGATCAGAATTCCCCAAGATGGCTTGTGAGCCCAGTCTCATGACAAGTGCATATAATACCTAGCTCAGTGCGGCCTTGGTTCCCTGATTTGGACCTCTGGGCACTGCTGCAATAAACAAATAATAATAAGAGTAGTTTGTGTAAATAATGTTTACACTTAAAAAGTGTTAGATCTGCCCAGAATGTATGAAGTGTATCTGGGAAATGACACCAGTCTCAGAAAAATCTGCTGGTCCACTTATCAGGAAGGGTGCAGGCCCAAATGAATGTAGTTGGGGGACCCAGAGGGTTACAAAAACAGGAAAGGCTCTGATAAGTCTAATGTCAAAGTTGTTAACATTACTCACAGCTGAAGTGACAAGCAAGCAACACAGCAAAGGAATGGTTAGTTTGGGCTTTCATGTCACTCCCTTCAGTTCCTCTTCTCTCATGTTTACTGGATTATCCAGGCCAGATTTAGGCAGAAAACCCAAAAGATCAATTCCTCATTGCTTTAACCTTCATTTCTGAACATGAAAGAAGTTCAGGCTTGGATTTGCCAGTCCGTAAGAAGCAAAAAATGTACTTGAAGCCTCAATAAGAGATGGCCAGTGGAGAATTTGCCTTTTCACAAGGCAAATCTGCCCAGAGACCTGCCGGGATTGTGGGAGAGGTTTACACTGGGGCTGGGTGATCAAGGAAGCTGTAGCTTGCCCACAGTCCAGGGCATTTAAGTATTGGTCATGGGAGGAACAGATGGAAAACCTGCCAGTTACAGAGCAATTACAAGGTTCTGTGAATAATTACAGGGCCAAACTCAACTCTGATATCAGCAAGTGCTGCTCCCATTCATCTCTAAGGAATCTGTTCCTGTGTTTGACTTTAATCTCTTGTGTTAAGGATTCACAACCCATGGCTGTGGAATCACTTGCTAGAACACAACTTCGAGAGAGAGACTGCTACAGACTGTTGTTTGGAAAACAAGACAGGGCATGGAGAGGAAAAACAGCTTTGTACCTTTCGGTGTAACTGCAAAAGCCACCATTTAATGCGCTCTACATCGACTGACTCTTCCCAAGTCAGAGCCAACGGGTTGAACTAGTGCTCTTTGGTCATTTCTGTTCGTCTGTGAGCTAATGCTATGATGCTGAGCACAATGTGGCACTCATCCCTATTGGTAGGCATAAGACAGGATGTGGCCTTGCAGAGTGGGATAGCTGTACAGGGACCCATCCCTCAATAAGACAATAGCGAACAGATCTGGGGAGGGCACCTAATTGCCCCAATAACCTTTACCCTGTCTTGTTCCAGCTGTCAAGCCCTCCCTACCCTCCACAAGCTAAGCACCTTAAAAACCTCCAAACTATCAGTCCTCCTAGCCCCCCCACCATTCCCTGTTCCATTCTGATTGGCCTGCTGCAGTTGTAAGAAGATACAACTGACTTTTCGCAATCACTGGTTGCCCCTCTGAAAAAACAAGAGGCCACCATTGTGGTTATCACATACTAGAGCACTATCCCCAAAGTGACAGTACATCTGTGGGTGATGCCAGAAAAAAGTCACCGCTGTTAGCACCTTCGGATGGGTAGGCACAGGTTACTATTTTCAGAGGTCCGTGGCCTGGGTAGGCCCAGCTCAGTGTTACAACACGTAGCATCTTTCCTTTAGATTAACCCGGTGAGGATGTGTGCTTTGGTTTCTGACTGAAAAACCAGCCACTGACTTTATGCTGCAGGCTTGAGCTCAGTGTTACAACACGTAGCATCTTTCCTTTAGATTAACCCGGTGAGGATGTGTGCTTTGTTTTCAGACTGAAAACCCAGCCACTGACTTTATGCTGCAGGCTTGAATGTTTTCTACACTCCACTCTCCATTATGTCATGCACAGCTAAGCATTATGATACTTAGAAAGGCAGCCATATTTCTCTCATGAACCTAGTTTTGGAGTGCATACCGTGGCTGTAAAATTTTTCCTTTAGTCAGATAACAGTAAGTATTCAGTTATTTGGGGCAGTGTAGTGATAACCTCAGGTTTACATCAGTTCAAGTTCAGATCTCAGCAATGTCATCTTCATTTTTCAGATGAAAATAAGCTGGGTAGAAGTTTTTTACATGAAACCTAAATAGAGGACCTGGTTCCAAAGATCCATGGAACCTTTTTGTACGGCCTTGTACACGTCCTTGGATCACACATCCCCTCCCTGCACTGTTGCACAGTATGCAGTGTATTTAGTAGTGGTTAGTTAACGGCTATCCCCACAAAACTGTCAGCGTTGTATGAATCAGTTGTGAAGCACTCCTATAAGAGTGGCTTACTGTTTACCAATTCCCTGGTGGGTGGGTGGCTAGGGGAGGGCAGTCTGCAACTGCTAGGGACTAACAGCATTACTCCTTTAGCTGAAGTGGTAAAGGTACTAAAAAAGAGGTTTTCAACTCCTGTTGATAACCCAAGCAGGAGGGATCTTTACACTTTTTGCAAAATTCCCAGTGAAGTCAATGGGTCTGACTCTGATCACATGCCAGTGCGAGATCAGATTCTGCTTGAGTAAAGGATGAGGAACAGGACACTACTCGTAAAACATTGCCATGTAATGCCATGAGCACGCCTAACATGCTTAAAAATAGAACACCCTATATCCTCCCGCATTGTTAGTACACGAGTTCAGTCTGCTGTGTACGTGACCCAGAAGGTAACACCTCACTCTGATCAAAGGGGCCACTATTTCCACCTGTCCCCAAAACTATAGGCTGCTTTTGATTTCACCTCAACAGGGCACTTAAATGGCAGTGAGAGGAGACAGACAATGGTGTAATGCACCATGTGGTTTTCTAATTTGTGAAGCATAAAATTCAGTGTCTGAAAGGTTTACACACTGGAGTGGGATTGGTGGGGGGTTGGGGGGGGGGGAGGGTCAGAGAAAGGGGAACCAAGACTTCAAGGTTGCATTCTAGGCTCTACCTCTGAATCACTTTAAACAAGGCATTTCGCCTGTTTAGGCATTACTTCACCCGTCCATAAAAATAAATCCTGGTGTAGTACAATCTATTGCACAGGGGTGCTCTAAGCCTTAATTAATGCTTATAAAACACCCTGGAGATTTTTAAATGAAAGATGTTAGGTAAGTGTTAAGTGCTATAACTGCTAAGAGGGCAAGATACTCTGGCAAATATTTTAGTTCGTTTTTTAAGTTTTTTCTGAAGAGATCCATTTACCAGACCAGTACATTTACCTATAACTACAGAAGATTTCATCCCCAACCATCAGAACCTCTAATTATAGACACTTAAGTATATGACTCTTCCATACATCTAAAAGCTGTCATAATTGTACAAGACACACAGGGGGAAGGGGGGAGGGGGACCTGCTAACTTTTTTGGCCACAATAATGCTTTTAAACTGTATTAGAAAATGTTAAAAATCATATTTACATTGTTTTGTAAGATAATATAGGGCCCCGCATATGGTAACTACGTGGGTACATAGGTGGTGTACATTAATGCAACCTAAGACACACGGTCTTTACACAAATATCCTTCTCCCAGCGCATCACAGAATGCATAGACACCCACCACACCCTCAGAATCACACAGCTCACAAATATCCGCTGTGCACAAATTCCTCGTTACGTAAGGTATTATCTTCACTTGGTTGGTCGAGCACCGATGAATGCTTTGCAGCACAAGCAGGGATATTGCAGACACTTGCCACGCACATCCCAACGGCCTGGGCGCAAGATTTCATTGAGAGGGCCACTGAGTTTAAGCTCCCCCGTCACCCAGGTTGACTCTCACTTTGCAATTACATTGCAGCAGCGGCTCTCAATCTCATTAAGGCTTAAGGCAGCCCTAGTGTGGCTGCAGGACTCCTCATTAGACTCAAAGCACCCGTACTTCTGCTGCAGGCACCCATTAGATTCAAGGCACCCCTAGATCGGTTGCAGCAGGCAACCAAGAGACTTGAAGCACCCCTAGCTCAGTTGCTGGCACTCCTCAGTAGACTCAAGTCACCCCTAATTCAGCTGCAGGCACACCTGAACACTTAAGGCACCCCTGGTTCTGGTGCAGGTACCCATTAGACTGAAAGCACCCCTAGTTTGGCTGACAACACTCACTAGCTCACTAAACCCAAAGCACCCCTTGCTCAGTTGTAGGCACCCATCAGACTCAACGCGCCCCTGGCTCAGCTGCATGCACCCTTCAGTAGGCTCAAAGCACCCTTAGTGCAACTGCAGGCATGCACTACACTGGAGCCACGCTTGGTTCAGCTGGAGGTCGCCCTCGATACACTCAAGGCACCCCAAGTTCATTGCAGGCACCCTTAGCTCGGCTGCAGGCAGCATCCCTCCCCAGCCTCGAGGCACCTCTCGGAAATTGCCAGCTCTTGGCTTTCATTTGTTTTCCCTCCAGGGTTAAACCAGCCAGCAAGGCCTGTCTTGCAAGGAGCCCTGCAGGACCACGCTGGGATGGTGGGACCCTCACGGGCTCCTCTTGGAAACCTCTGGGCTGATGGTGCTGGGCACCAGCCCCGCACCCTCCCCAGCCTATCAGGGCCTGGGGCACCATGGCAGAGCCTCCTTGCTTTGGGAGCCTATTCCAGGGCCAGCTCTACTTCCTCCTCTCCACCACCACCACCACCAAAAACCCCTCCCTATATGATCTGCCCCCCATCCCCCGCAGCCGCCCACGGCGGCCCCAGATGCCCGCGCGGGCCCTGGAAGAGGCGCCCCCTAGCGGTTCCCGCTGCCCCCAGCCCCGCCCGGCTGCTACGTGCGCTTCGACACTGTCCTCATGGCAAAGCCCGGGCGGACCGTACCACACCGCGCCCCGCTGCAGGGAGGGGGGACAATGGGAGCAACCCCCCCCGCCGCCGCTCAGAGAGCCCAGCCCAGAGGCTCGGGGAGTGTACCCCCCTCTCCCCCAGCAATGGGCGGGCCCTAGCCCCCTGACTGGGGGCGTCCATTAAGGGGAGAGGATATGGGGGGGGGAGCGCTGAGGGGGCGGGGTTGCCAGTTCAACAGGTA